GTGAAGGTCTTACTCGTTGTCAGCCTCTGCGTAGTGAATCTTGATCCAGTGAGCCCTGTCGTGGTACCCGAAACTCTCGTAGAGGTGCAAAACAGACATGTAGGCGAAGTATGGAACCCTGGCGACCGTCTCCAGCACGAAGAAACGCGCAAAGTCAGATTTCTTGTGGTAATACCAATCGAGCGAGCCTTTGAGCACTGTAACGAGCGCTTGTGCTATGGACTTGGTGACGATGTCCAGAGGCTCGGGCTCTTCGACGGTCGAGACAGGATACGACTTTGACCCCCAAGTGGTGCCGTCCTTGCGAAACATGCTGTCAAAATTCTCTGAGATGACGGGAGAGTCCTCGGGGTTGCATTTCACGATGGGCCCGCGGGATTTGTGCGCACTGTAAGCTTTCCTCTGCAGGGGAAGGTTGACGCCAGCGAAGCCATGGCCGATGAAGGCATCGGAGATAGAAATAAGCATGAGGAACAACAGCACAAATCTCATGCTGGCCATAGCAAGCAACACGCCTGCAGCAGCTGTATCAATGCACAGAGATTGTCACATCAAGTCCCTTCTCTTCCTTCACATGCCCCTTTCTCTTGCTTCTCCTCCAGCTATCTTACTCGTCTTCTCTCTTCTCACTCTCTTCTCACTCTCCCCTCAACTACTCCTTGCGTCTCAACTTCTACAACAGCATTACTTGTTCATTGGTCTACTTTCACCTTCTCATGCTTCCCCTTCATGTTGTCTCTTCATCTCTCCTCTTCCCTGGCCTCCTGCTCTCTCCTGCTCTCCCCTTCTCCCTCCTCCTCCTCCTGCCTTATTACACTCCTGCTGTGCATGTTGTAGCAACCCCCTTGCACTAGTTTTTACAGGGACGCAAGGGAACTGTAATTAGGTGGGTGGGGGTACTTTCTTAAGGGGTTGGGGTACGGGATGTAACCCCTACCCCCCTCGTATCTCAACGGTCACAGATTTTTTACAGGGTACCACGACTCAAGCAGAGGGGTAGGGGTCGTTTATATATTAGATGAGTCCCGAGATGCGACAATGAGTTGCCGATACGCAGGTCGATGAGAAGGAGGAGGGGAAGGGGAGGAGCGCCATGGAGAAGTTGTATATGATAAGAAGGCGGATGATGATGATGACGACGACGATGATGACGATGACGACGATGACGACGGTGATGATCATGTTGATGAGGGTGATAAGCATGGTGATGATAAGGATGACGACGGTAATGACATTGGCGAGGACGAGAAAGATTAAGGCCAGTAGGATCAGGAGCAGTAGGATCGAACTTAATGTTGCAGAAATGTTTGAATAATGCCTGATTACAGTCTATGCTGGTGAGCATTGGTCGCCCAGTCCGCATCAGTGGGAGCTACTGATGGGGCTGCAGCCTATCGAGGTTGGGAGGGAAGTACCTAGAAGATGCTCTGAGAGTGTTGATGTAGGAAAGACAAAGGATTTCTCGTTTTCATTTCAAGAAAGATGCAAAGTTGGCCTTGGTGACTGCCTCTTCCTGCTCCTGCTCCTGCTCCTGCTCCTGCTCCTGCTCCTGCTCCTGCTCCTGCTCCTGCTCCTGCTCCACCTCTGCTCGTCCTCACCGACGATACAGGCCGGCAGGACATTGCTTCAGCATGCTGCAAGCACGGCCTTGAACCAACCGTTCGGCATGGTGAAACTTCTACTACCATCTCTCTTGACTGACCTCGACGTCGAAAGATCCTCTTCGGTCGCACTGCAGAAGGAAAGCCATATGTGAAGGGACCTGACGACGGTGGCTCTATTGCTAGTTGCCTGTAGTTGCGAATTCACTCATTTGTGGTTTCAGGTCGGCATGTCATGCCTTGGTACAACCTCAACTTGTCGCACCACGGATCATGGGTATGCCCTTGAAAGTTTCTTGATGATGTTTGAGCTTGCTGGATGTTTTCAGGCTGTTGTGGCGGCAGAAGAGAGTTGTTTGGTGGGAACAGATGTGATGACGGTGAAGCCGCAAAGAATGGTCAGGAATGATGTTGATAGCCATGACAGCGCTGAGAAAACTTCAGGGAGAAGACGCAGAGACGTTTCTCAACGACTTTGTTGACTGTCTGACCGGCCACGAGTGGAACCAAATAAGAAAAGTCGGGTATCGCGAGATCTGGAATGGGACGATGTGATGAAAGTTTGTTTTTCTTACTGCAGGAGGGATAGCAATGCGTTGCTGTTTGCTTTCTTCGTGTTCTGGTATTCTCACTCTCAGTCAGATTGAGATGTTCATGAAGGAAATGTAGGGCTCTCAAGGAATCATACATCAAGGCGGTGGGGATTGGACTTGGTTTGTCCCTGACAAGGATCGAGTTCGATGTGGAGGAGGAACTTCTGTCAAGCCGAGTAAGGAGGAGGAGGAGGAGAAGGAGGAGGGAAGAGGAGGAGGAGGAGGGAGGAGGAGGGAGGAGGAGGGAGGGGAGGGAGGGAGGGAGGGAGGGAGGGAGGGGAGGGAGGGGAGGGAGGGTGGGAGGGA